TCTTCGCGTCGCCGTCGCCACCGCCTCCCTCCGCGTCGCCGTCCCCGCCGCCTCCGTCGGCCTCGCCGTCGCCGCCGCCGCCGTCCGGCTCGCCGTCGCCGCCGCCGCCGTCGGCCTCGCCGTCGCCACCGCCGCCATCCGCGTCGCCATCGCCGCCGCCGCCGTCCGCCTCGCCGTCGCCTCCGCCTCCGTCCGCCTCACCGTCGCCGCCGCCTCCCTCCGCCTCGCCGTCGCCGCCGCCGCCGTCTGCCTCGCCGTCGCCGCCGCCGCCATCCGCGTCGCCATCGCCGCCGCCTCCGTCCGCGTCGCCGTCGCCGCCGCCGCCGTCCGCGTCGCCGTCGCCGCCGCCTCCGTCCGCGTCGCCGTCGCCGCCGCCTCCGTCCGCGTCGCCGTCGCCGCCGCCGCCGTCCGCCTCGCCGTCGCCGCCGCCGCCTTCCGCGTCGCCGTCACCGCCGCCTCCCTCCGCATCGCCGTCGCCGCCGCCTCCGTCCGCCTCGCCGTCGCCGCCGCCGCCCTCCGCGTCGCCCTCCCCGCCGCCTCCGTCCGCGTCGCCGTCGCCGCCGCCTCCCACGCCGCCGCCGCCATCCGGCTCGCCGTCGCCGCCGCCTCCCACGCCGCCGCCGCCATCCGGCTCGCCGTCGCCGCCGCCGCCCTCGCCGCCGCCACCTGCCCCTCCGCCGGCGGCGCCGCCGCCTCCCTCCGCCTCGCCGTCGCCGCCGTCACCCTCGCCGCCGCCGCCCTCGCGGCCGCCCTTTTCACCCCTCCCCGAGGGCGTTGTCGTGGAGGAAGTGTCCGTGATCAAGTTCACCATCGCTGTCACGATCTCCGCCGAAGTGAACGGCATCGACGTCACCGAACTCGAGGCCTCCTTCCGCTCTGCGCAGCTTTGCTTCGCGCCAGAGTGCGTCCTCAGCGTGACGCTCCACCCCGTCGAGCAATCGGCAGCCCGTCGGGCACTCCAGACTGCGCAAACGACTGCTTCGAGCACGGCGAGCGTGTTCAAGGATGGCAACACACTCTCCGCCGTGCGCAAAGCGAGCTATGAGTTCGCTCAGATGCCTGCAACCCAAGCCGGCAATATCCTGAATCAGCCCGTCAGCGAGGTCGACCCCAATGTCAACGAACGCGAGGACACCGAGCCGCGCGCGGTCGCGCCGCCGCCGCCCTCCGCCCCGCCCACGCCGCCGCCGCCCTCGTCGCCTTCACCTGACGTGGAGCCGCAGTCCACGGACCCGCCGTGCTTCCCGAGCTCGGCGACGGTGCAGCGCGCCGACGGCGAGTCCGCCCCCCTCTCCTCCCTCTCCGCCGGCGACTCGATCCTCGCGGCGGCGGCGGACGGCACCCTCGCTTTCGATGCCGGGTGAGAGGGGCTTCACTTGATTCACTGTCGCTTCTATTCTACCAGGCACCCTCGGCTTCGACGTCGTCTCCGCCTTCTCGCTGGCCGACCTGTCCGCCAAGGCGGCCTTCATCTCGCTGACGACCGCAACGGCGACGGTCACGCTCACCCCGACGCACAAGCTGCCCGCCGGCCCGGCAAAGGCGCTCAAGCAGGCGTCCGAGGTTGCCGTCGGAGAGACGGTCTGGATCGCGTCGCCGGCCGCGGGCACGCTCGTGCAGGCGCGCGCCAATAGCCCAGCATATCACACCCGGCCTCTTGTTGATGCTGAATCCCCCCCCCCCCCCCCCCCCAGGGGCCCGTCCTCGGGATCGCCTCGGTCGAGGCCGAAGGGCTGCACAGCCCGCTCACCAAGCACGGAGGCTGGCCGGTCGTCGACGGCGTCGCGACCTCGTACAACAGCGCGGCCGTCGTCGCGCGCAACAAGTACCTCGTCCCGCTCGTCGAGGCGGTCTGCCCCTCCCTCGCCCGCCTCGTCGTGGCGGCCGGGGAGTCCAAAGGCGAT